ACGAGCAGGTGAAGCGCCTGAGCGACAAAGAGGTCGAGAAATACACCAAACGCTACGAGACATACGTGGGATCAAAAACGACAGAAAGCCTGATCGACAGCTTCATTTTTCTTGTATCCAAAGGGGTCGGAATGACCGTCAACATCAAAGACATCGACGCTTATCGAAAAGAGCTCAGAAACGACTACATCATAAACAAAGAGCTCTCCAATCTGGCCGGCAACCTTGCTTTGAAGTGCGGACGGTTTCTTGCTGCGGCCAACGCGGCGCTGATAACCACAAAACCTGTTGATTTTAGTCCACAGCCTCGACTAGTCGAGGAGTTGTCGGAGCAGAACCACCCTTCTCGTGATGAATACGGCTATCCACTTGAGGGCGTCGATGAAGTACCCGGCTCAGCAACTGCAAAATGACTGATCAGCACTCATCATTGACTGCTGAGGGGAGTGCTGACAAAAATGCTGTTAATTAAACTTTTTTCATTTCCTTAGAATACGCGTTTGTTTCAGAGTGTCTACCGAACAATCCGAGAGCGCACCTCAGGTCGAGACCCAGACATCACCTGCCGGCGATATTACACAGCAAGCGACAACTCCAACTGCAACAACGTCAACGCAGCGCGTAAAAAATCCCAAGCGTGTGGCCGCTGGCAAATTGGTTGCTGAAAGAACGAGGCTGGCACGGGAACAACAGAAGAAAGCAGCTGAGGCTTATCTCGCGGAAAACAAGGAGAAAGCCGCCACAGCTGCTCCCGAGCCAGCCCCGACAACAGAAGGCGAAAGCCCAAAGTGCAGCGCAGAAAAAAATAGCGGCCTCACCACCACACAATGGCTTGCTGTTGGCAGCATAGTCGTTTCACTGGTCGGGATTTATTACAAACGTGAAGAGCTCAAGGCTATGGCCAAGGCCGCATTCGACAAAAAAACGCCGGTGCCCGCGCCTGAGCCCGCGCGTGTTGATTCAGAACCTGCTCGCGCGACACAGCCAAAAGGATTAAAAAAAATGATTTAAACTTTTTGAGTGAAATGTATATCACGATGCCAGGGCTTAACGTTCAACAGAAACTCCTCACTTTCGCCACCTCTTTTGGTGTCACGTATGTGTTGTTAGGCTTAAGCAAAAATATTTTTACCGCAACATTGAAATTTTTGAATGCAGCTTTTGACAATAAGGACAGAGAAAAAGAAGTAAGAAGAAGAATAGAAAAAGAAGTAAGACGAAGAATAAGAGAAATACTAAGAAGAAGAGAAGAAGTAGAAGTAGAAGAAGAAGCCGCGGGGAAGACAGATTAATTTTGTTTTAAACTTTTGTTATTCCCGTTATATCAAACGCACCATGTCCGACAACAAGCTTGTCAAGACAGTCATTGACGCCGCAACTCTCACGGGATTAGCCGCGGGCGTCGGCTGGGCCGCAAAAAAGGTTGTGAAAGAGAATTTCACTTCTGATCCCAGCAGCAGCGCGATGAATTACGTGAGGTTCACCGCCGTCATGGCGGGCAGCATTGCGCTCAAAAAGTACCTCGAGGACCAAAAAATCCTTCCCGACAGCGTTTGAAATTTTTGTATTGAAGAAAAAAAAAAGTATCTTATATGCACCATGGCAAGTCTTGTAAGCATCGGAGATTATATTTACTAGACTGTTTCGAGATACGTGAGAGAAAATGAAAAGAGCTACGATGAAGCAGTCAACTGGTATCTAGAGGTTTTAGAAAAATTAATTATCGAGCGCAATTTTCGACTGGGCCGTGGAAAACATGCCTAAAAGTGCGGAGTATTTTGAAAAGAGCCACGATCAAGACGTCGCCGAGGTGTATCTCAACGCTAAAGAAAAATACAAGACCGAACCCAAAAAACTTCTCGACTGGATTGCGGCCAACGCGGTAATACATGCGGAAGACAAGAAGAACCTCGAGTACACAAAATCAATGATTTGAAAAAAAGACTCTGCAATATAGCACCATGGCGAGCATCGCGATTATGGTTGGCGGGGCTGTGTTGAACGCAACGGCTTTTATCGGTGGCAATTATCTGGCGAGGGCGCTTGGCGGGGCGACAAAGCTGCGCTTGAAGAAAAAA